CTCCGCGCGTCGGCTGCTCCCATCGGGACCGGCAGCGCTGGCTTTGGGGGCGTTGGGTGGCTGGGAACGACTGCCTGGAACTGGTTTGGGTTTCGGAACCTGGAAATAACGGGCATTTTATCCTCTGTTTTCAAAGCAAAGAGCTTAAGTAGTTGAACACGGAGGAAAAGCACAGCGGTAAAAGGAGAGTGTGGCAGAAGAGCAAAAGAAAGCAAGCACGCGCTTGTCCCGTAGAGTTGGGACCATCCCCAGGACAGGACAGTAAGGAGGAAAGGACAGGTCTGGTGATTTGTTAGAAGAAAGAGCAGTTCACTAATGTAGTTAATCAAGCCAGAAAATTACCCCTCACATTTAAAGCACCTTTCTGTTGGCTTCAAAATAGCAAGAGCAGGTGTGAGACTCGTCGTCCACCAAAAGGCTACGCAAGGTAAGCACAGCAAAATTAAAGGACCCTCATCAAGTTTGCTGGATGGAGTGGTGGACACACCAGCAGGCTGTGCTGCCATCCAGCGAGACCTGGACAGGCTGGAGAGTTGGGCAGAGAGGAACCTGATGGAGCTCAACAAGGGCAAGGGCAGGGTCCTGCGCCTGGGGAGGAACAACCCCAGGCACCAGTCCAGGCTGGGGCTGAGCTGCTGGAGAGAAGCTCATCTCTATGGGAAGCTCCACACACACGTACGAGCTCCTGCACGCATCGGGTTAAATCACAGGAGTATGAAGTCACAACAGCAAATCCCACCGCTGGTGAGGATCCGCGCGCCGGGAGGGAAGGAGGGGACGCGCCCCCAGCCGCTCTCAACGGGGAGCCACGCAGCGTCCGTCTCTTACCCTCCTGGCAACCAACCTGGAGAGAAGGAGTTGCAGAAGCCAGGTTTGGTTGCCTCTTGCAAAGATTTCAGGGGGAACTGGTCGTGCAAAGGCTCAGCCGGCTGGAGAGATGCACGAGTACTTCCCAGGAAAAGTGGCCACGGCAGTTTGTACCACAGCCGGGTCCTACGGAGCATCTTCATCTGCTCAACCAGCCACCAAACTGGATTAGATATGAGGAAGAACTTCTTCCCCAGGAGGGTGGTGAGGCCCTGGCCCAGGATGCCCAGAGAAGCTGTGGCTGGCCCCCCCCCGGCCGGGGCCCAGGGCCGG